TTGTTGGCTCTGCAGATTTGAGTTATGATTTCCCCCCAAAACATCTGCATCTTCCACTTGAACAGCAGGACTGCTTCTCAGTAGAAGTCTTCTGTAATTAGCTTCTTGTCGTCTGACTATAAACATCAAAATCTAGTTGGACAACCTTTATGTGGAAGGTAGTAGACATGCTTCATTTTTTATTTCCTTCGAAGTTTAAAATGGCAAGTGCAGCTTTTGCTGCAAGGCTTGGAGGGATAATTATTTTTTCAACGGATATGGGGGGAAAAGATCTGCGTATTTATGACTGCTTTAGCATTCATGTTTCGAGGGTTCTGAGGATCAAAAGCTGTTTAAGGGTTTAGGAAGGGCATAGATATAAATAGTTGGAATGTTCACTGTGTGGATCTCGTTGTTTGGAGTTAAATTAAATTTGTATTTTCTTCTGCCTCTACTTTTTAAATAGATGGACATTGTATATTTAGAGCGTGTTTGCTAAGAGTTGCCTTGTGTTAAAGTCTGAATGGTTTGTGAACTGATACATGCTGTGTTGAAATTCCCAGCTGCACTAAACTTTGGTTAATTAAAAAATACCCTAATCACAACAAAAGCCCCCACTATTTTCTGAAACATACAATTATAACAGTGTGCGTAGTCTACACATACATGGGATGAGGATGGTAAATTCAGTGATATCTTGGGGAGGGGCAGGGTCAATGGAGTTCATTGTTGCAGGAGAAACAGTGAATCTGTTTCTTCTTACTTATGCACATTGGCCTGTCCCTAATACATTGTAGCATCATTCACAAGTTACAGGGAATGCATGTACAATCTGTGTATCGCTATACTTGATTTTTCTTCATATGTACATTAAGTATTTTTCATGTTACAATCAATGCATGTGCAGCTGAACACTGAGTAATTTTCGCATTATATTTAATGCACTTACGTGTGATTGAAACCACACATTTATCCAGGTACTGGTCCATAATCTCCTTTGTTCATTGAACACATGTTGGCACTTTCTTATAAACTGGTGCATGCGTGGTAACTGTAATATGTGAATAAGGCTTACTGGAATAGAACTTATAGGATCTGGAGGATGACTGCCTATAGTAGAGGCATTGAACTCATTTGTTACGAGGGCTGGATCTGACATAAATATCACTTTGTCGGGCCAGGCCATGTGTGCCATAAAATGTAACACAAGGTACCGGAGATAATAACTTTATAAAGATGATTTCAGATGCTGAATGGGAATAGCAGGCATAACTGGATTGTGATATGCAGACGGGTGGAGATATCAGCATTGGTGTGATATACAGAGGCGTGGAGATATCAGCATTGGTAATAAGACAGGAAACCTAGGTCTCAGTTTGGTACAGGAGGATTCAGTCCAGGAGAATGCAAAGAAATAATGGAAATAAGTCTGAAGAAGTGAGCAGTGACTCACAAAGGCACATACCCTACCACAATTTTGTTTGGCTTTAAAGGTGCTACTGGACTCTTACTCTTTCTACCACTATTAGAAACCACAACATTCAAAACCCAGTGGGGGAACAATTTAAACTTCCAGGAATCCAGGGCATTCAGTTGCTGACCTAGGAGTAGCAGTTCTCTTACAAAGGAATTTCAAAGGGAGATTAGAAAGAAAGACTGCTGAATTGCAACTGATCACAAAGCTCAAGACAATGCAAACTACTGGACTGAATTGAGACCTCATACCTGGAATAAAATGTTTTTGGTCTTAAACACAGGAGACTCCCTCTCTCTTATACCTGGAATAAAATGTTTTTGGTCTGAAACACAGGACTCTCTCTGTTTTTCTGGTGTGCTCCCTCTTGCTCTTTC